GGATGATCTTTTCTTTCTTCCTTGCAATGCCTCCACTAGTTGTAGTCCTTCTCTTAACTCTTGAATTGAGGCCTCATCTTTAATACTAACAAAATATTTATTAAGGAGACTAGTAACTCCATCACTATGCATCTTAATACCAGCCTGTACTAGGGAGGTTTTGAGGCCTTCACATACAAGAAGGTCCTTCTTTAGTTGTGGAGAATAGAGTGAGTCTTTAAATGGGAACAATAGGCTCTCGACAATCTCAATAACGAGCTGAGGTTTATAAAGAGACTGAGCGATGATGTCAGCAAACTCTCTCTCTACTCTTTCATCCATTGATACTCCTCTGAGTGCATCAATACTGTCCAATTGAAAGTCAGGATCAGACACGAATGGCAGTACTAGTGGTACAATCTTTTTTGAGGCCGTGTTACCCAGTGCTTGTAATATAAGTGAAGTGTCCTCAACTTTTTTGCTTGACATTAATTTCACCGAAAGGTAGCTAACGATATTCTCTTCTACATTTTCATGTCGACCGAGTGTAGCTATGGAGAGGAGGAGTTGATCTGTTGAGGTTTGATCTGGTTTCAGTGACTCATAGTAATTGAACAATGAATCAACAGTGCTTGGGTCGACTGATGTTAGTATTACAATATCATTCAATACACTGTCAATCTCTTTTGATGTTGTTGGTGTGGATTTTAATACATCCAATAGTGCCTGTAAGGAATGGATGGATGAATACAGTACAGAGAAAAAATTTTCAAGGGCTCTAAAAAATTTATAGGATTTTGCAAATCTTTAAAAATTTGTGAATGCTGCTCTTGCAAAAATTAATTTATTATGGTACAAGATGGTGGATGATATAATTTCGTAAGAATTTAATCGACTAAATAAATTTTTTGTGCAAATTTGTAAAATTTATAAGCCTCAAAAATTTCACACTATATGGCTATAGATGTAAGATTAATGAATAAATGAATAGTGTGTATTGGTTTTACCTGCTGTGATTCAAGGCTTCCTTCATAACTCAATAGATGACATATCAGTGATCTCTCCTCATAAGATGAGGCATCAGTTTTAATCTTAAAAATAAAATAGTCATCAATAAGACTGAGAGATGAGAGAGAGAGAGTTAATTATTATATTACCTCATTCAGTCTGTCCAGCAGTTGTGGCAATTTTGCACTAGTACCTGGTAATGCCCCATACTTTGATTCCAGCTCAAGCAACTTCCTCCAATTATCAATCAATTTCACTACAATTAAAACAACAAAAAAAAACTAATAATGATAGCAATAATAAATTTACAGTAAAGCTGGTGTATTAAAATAGCACAAAATTTTGTCCCAGATTTTAGCATAATTATGTATCATTTTCAACATATTCCAAAAACTGAGCACAATAATGTGCGTTGGATATTATACTGACTTGTTTTTTGAGAGTCAGACTCTAATTTAACTTGCTTGAGTGTCATCTCAAATGATGGCAGGATGCTATTCAACTCCATCATTGCATCCTTTGCTTCTTTAACTAAGAGAAAGAGAAAGAATTGATATATGAATAAGAACCAATCACATTTTATTCTACCTTTATTACTGCTAGACAGTAATCCATCTGTAATGAAATCATGACCATACAATACATTGGAGAGAATATCAGCTTCATCAGCATTAGCTTCTTGCAAGCAATGAGACATCTTTAATTTATAATCAGTACTAGCTCCTAGAGCTGGTATACCCTTTTTATCATCACCATTCTCCATTATATCAATGGTAGCTTCTTGGAGCTTATCAGAACCAAATTCAATGATAGTTTTGCCAATAGAGAACTGGATCCTTTTCTCATCATCGACCTCTACCTTGTCCTCTTGATGGAAGTAGACTGTGTCATCTTGGTCCAGTCTCAATGTGCTGCCAGCAAATGATAGGACATCGTTCATTTCTATCTTTCTCTCTTGAATCTCCCAATTACTTCTTTGAGAAGGATGAGTGTAACTGAGAGAGAAAAAGAGAGATTTAAAGAATAACTACCATACCATCAATCTGCAAATTTTTCCCAGACTTTAATTTTGCAAAAATTAGATCAAGCATATAATTATATGTCACATCCAATACAGACTTGTTACATGCATAAAATTCTAAAGCATAAATTTCCAGATACGTGCAGTATTTCATATTACATACGTATAATGTGAAGTGTGCTTTGATTGTGAATCAGTTTCATTGGTGACTGTGGTTCCTTCATAATTAGCCTGAAAAGCACTGGCTATGCTCTTTTTAAAGTTAACGACTCCTTCCTTCTCTTTAACATCATGGAAAACTCCTAATATTTTACCACTGGTAGAGCTCTGAGCAAAGCAGAACCAGCCATCCATGTTTTTAACAGGAGTAGCACTATAATAGAGAAAATAATAAGAAAGTTATTTTTCTAATTTTAGGCTCTCTCTCTCTTACTCTTTTTCTTCCTCATCAGATAGTTTAGCTGCTACATTCTTCACATTAATGCAAGATCTCACTACTGACATCTCATCACCAAACCGGCCAACTGCATAAAACACAGCACATAACATTAACAATGCATGGATTAAGCCTTAAAATTACTTGCATAGCTGGTTTAATTTCATGGTCTCAAATTTTCATTGGTTCAATTATCATTGCAATTAATTTTTGCAGTTTACAAAATTTTACATGTACAAGTAGTGAAAGATGAGAGAGAGAGAAAGAGAAAGAGAGGGAGGGAGAGAGAGAGGGGGGAGGGAAGGCTGACCTGATTCACAAAACACTTCTACGTGAGCTGAGACATC